TTTCCCAACAGTTCCAAACACAACGACGTGATTGGAGCATGTTCTAAGGGCGATCAAAGACAATTGAAAAAGTCTTTTTGCCATTTGGAGATCATTTCCCTGAGATACAGAGCTCCAAGTGTGATATCCACAGCCAATCATCATTAGCTTGTGACCCATAGGATAAATACTGATCTAGGCACGATCAACAAGCTGCTGCACATCATGTTTTGGAACACCCATCACAATTCGATATTTCAGCCACACTCAGCAATGCAACAGCAGCACTAATACATCTCGGTCTGCAGAGATCTGAAGTATCTCAGTTTGAATTTTAATACGCATCACTATATTCTGATTTATACTTGTGGACTTCAGCTTGAGTGTTCATGATGGCAAGGGTGGCTTGAGTACCAGACAGACCACAAAGACCAAGCAGACTCTGTGCCTTGATGCCCAAAGACAGACTTTGTTTATAGTGACCAGCTCACGCAAGCATGCAGCTTGTGCATGGAGAGTGTCTGCTTCTCTATATAAAACTCCCGGAGAAAGCCCTTGCCAACCTTTGGGCTTCATATGCATGCATTTGGGCTACAGAGTATTTCCCAAGCCCAAAGTCAACCCATGCAAGCTGATTCAATCCTTGACAGTTGTCTCCTGCTGTTACCAGCTAGAATTGCCAATGATATGCTCTTTTTGCACATACTTGTCGCCTTAAGAGGATCAGCTTTGAATTCCTGATAGTGAATAGGCCATGATGAGATAAAACCTGCCTAGAAGTCCATGTATGAGTTCTGATAGGTTGCGTTAAAAACGAACCCACATTTAAGATCTGGATCATCAAAGTGCTTGAAGTGCTCCAGAACTTGGGAAGCCAGAGTCTCAGCATCAGAGATTGGGCTATATGGCCACCAGTGAATTGTCGCAATAAAGAAGTAAGCTGTGAGTCGATGATCATTGAGCTGGGGAAGGAGATCCTGAATTTGGTTCATCAACAAAGTCTGGGTTTGCGTGTTGATAGAGCTCAAGTGAGTCAAATAGGCATACACAGTAAATGCTATTGGATACAACTGGTTGTTTCTGCTTCAGACCCCCATTGCAACACACCCTGGATGTTTGTGAAATTTGCTTCTATTCGGGGGATTATGCTGGAATTTGACTGGGTTCCCAGGTACTCCACAAAGAACTTGAGCAGCTCCTGGAAGTATGTGAGGAGGTTCTGAATAAGATGCTCTCCAGGAGGCTGGTACTTTTGCATATATTCTCGGATAGGCATCAGTACCTTCATTCTTTTATGTTCATCACTGTAAGCTAGAGCAGTGGACTTCAGTGCTGCTTTTGCATGCATGAATATTTTCAAGCGGTAGTTTGCTTTGAAAAATATCTATATCTGCCAGGCCATCCGGGAGCAATGACAAGAGGCTCAAAAGATCTTGTGAATGACACTGGTTGGGAGATTCAATTTTTTCAGCACAATTTACGGTGAAAAATGTCGATTGTTTTTCAGACATTTTTCACTGAAAAAAATGGTGAAATTTTCAAACCTTTTTCACCCCTTTTCAACTTTCTTTCAAGTTTTTCACCTCAAACCGGAAAAGTGGTGAAAAAGCTTTGAAAATTTCACCATTTTTTCACTGAAAAATAGCTGAAAAACAAACGACATTTTTCACCATAAATTGTGCTGAAAAATTTGAATCTCCAAACCAGTGTGAGGAAGTAATTGGATCCGCGGACTCGACAGTGACAGAGAAATAGACAGGTTCAGGTTTGATCTCTTGTCAAAGCCTTCTGAAATCAGAGAGGTCTTCTCCCTCTCCCCAGCGAGATAATACACTGGAGCAGCCTTCAGTGTCAACCAGATGGGCAAGGAGACTTATTGCAAGTGGCATATTGCCTGTCAGGGAGAGAATTTTGTCAACCTCCTCCAGATTGTGTCCACTATCTGCAATATCTGTAAATGCGAGCCAAGCTGCCTCTTGATCCAATGGTTGCAAGGATCTCAAAAATGGCCGAGTCCATAGGACTTTGGCAGGTCTTTCTGCTCCTCGCATAGTAATCTAAATGAGGTGAGTTGAGAGTATCATTCAAAAACCATTTAACTTGCCATCAATGCAAGTCTCTCCACACCTGTAAGCAGTGAAAGTAATTCTTCAATGCTGCCACGAGAGCTCACTGGCTCCCATAGTGTCTCAAGCTCATCTAGAATCAAGAGACTTGGTGGATTCTTTGAGAAATGCTGCAGAACTGCTTGGTGAGGTCTTTGCCAGGCTTTAGCCCCAGATGGGCTCCAATTAGGTTCATCAGTTCAGTTGTTGCAGAGCTGCAAGCAACAAAGAACCTATTCTGTGCATATCTGGCTATGATGTCTGGGTGATGCAAGAGAACTTGTGCCAGGGATGTTTTTCCCCATACCGCCTGCACCCAAAATTGCAATCCTTGGAATTCCGGTGTTGAAAAGGTGAAGAATGTCTGAGAGCTCTGACTCGCGGCCATGGAAAATCTTGGGCTCTGATGGCAGCATTGAGATTGAGGTGGAGCTTTGAAATGGAGTCATCCAATAAGTGTAATCCAAGAACTTTCTGGGAAAAGTGGATACTCTACCTGTTGGAGGCCCAAGAATAATGTCCGCTTATCTGCAAAACATTAGGTGTAGTTTGAGTGAAACACATTTTACTTACTGTGGATGCCCTTTCTGAGGCAGTTGCCTCAGAGAGTTTCTCAATCATGTCAAGCACTTCTTGATGTTTCTTTGGGCATCCTTCTGCATTTCCATGATACCTGATAGAGCCCGGGGTCCATCAATCTATAAAATTATGTATCTATGAATTGTTATTACACAGAAATGACAACAGACCTGAAAGAAGTCAAAGCTTTGTTGTAATCCAGCTTGACAGTCTTTGAGGAGAGTGCTAAGTTCACCCTGGCGAAAGAAGTTTTTCATTTTGTTGCCTTTTTGTTGGGCCTCCATAAAAACATATATTTGGTGAAGGATCCTGGTCCCAATGGTTAATGAATAGTAGGTTTCCCACGGACAAGGAAAGTACTCAGTGAATTTCCCGACATGGTTCAGCACTTCTGGAGGCATTTCTCCACCTACATCCGGCTTGATATGAAGAATTATAATTCCATTCAACAATCCATGGACCTGTTCCAGAAGCTGAACACAGTTATCTTTGTGTTTGCTAATAGTCTAGTGAGTGGGTAAGCTCAACATCATTCCATGTCTCTTTGGCAAAGCTCACTTGGATATTTTTCAAAATAGCTTGAGTTGTGCTAATTATAGCACCTAAGAATGGAGTTTGGATGTTGTCTGCGATGATTTCCAAGGTATTTGTGGTCATAGTCAAGCATATCACCACTTTTTCCAGTCTATTCTGGGTAACAGTGGATGGGGGCATGTTGGGGTGATGGGCCCTTGTGAAGTGTTGGTCTTTTATGCACCCATCCGTGGGTCCCCGCTGTCACCGGTTTCTGCCATTCACTTGTCGATCTGCCAGTAATCTGCCAGCAATCTGCCAACAATGCAACAGCAACATTTTTGGCTATTCAGGGCTCAGGATCAGATTCTGCACCAAAAAATCTGATGATCTTTCCATCTGGGTTGCTATACATCACCATACACTGATGTGACATATTGTGTACCTGGCTAGATATTGGGGTTAACAATTACTGAGGTGAAATTCAATGAGAAAAACAGAAATCAAACACTGCTTCACCCGATCGTCAATTGAGATGTCCTGCAAGCACAACCAGTCGGGGTGCATGCAAGGGAGTGAGAGAGCGGATTGACAACAGCATCGAGGGAAAAGCCAGCAGAGAAACCTTGGACACTGGGAATCAAACAGTCACCCAGAACTCCCGGAAAAAAAGCCGTTATTCTACGCGATACAAGTGGGTGTGTGCCGTGCGCCTCCTCTCAAGGTTGTGTACCTGCCTCGTCAGACGGTGTTGGACGTATACAGCAGTTGTGAGGCTGAAAGAGGATTGAGGCAAGTTTCAAGCTATCGAGCAAAAAATATCTTGGGGGACTTGTATTTCGGACGCTGGGAGTGGAGCCCAGTTCTTCCACGGAAATTGTGCATCGAGAGTGCAATTCCAAATGGGCGTGCACCGCGCACCACGTCCGATGTTCCTCTTCATATTGTGGATCTGGCTAGGTATTGCCGTAGACAGCTTGATCCGAGTCGGCCAGCCAAAATTGAATCAGGCGAACGGAAACCAACTGCTTCACCCGATGTGCTGCGAAAACAACATGAATTACCCAGTGGGGGAGAAAACAGAGAAAGATGTATACAGGCGAACTTGAAGCAAACGAAAAAGATCGCGGCAGGCTTCAGGGCATCGAGCAAAATGACCTCCAGAACTGTTATTCGGACGCTGGGGGTCGAACCCAGAGTTCCCAATTCGAAATCTTTCGAGGGCTAACCAGCACTGACATGTAATTGCGAGCGGGCGTGCCCTATGCACCACGTCCGGGTTTCCTTGTCAGGGTTCGTACCTGGCTAGGTACTGGCGTAACAAGAGGTTACTGGGGCAAAATGAGCGAACCAAAAAAAATTGACAAACCACTGCTTCACCGGACTGAGACGTCCTGCGAGTTCTATCAGCCGGGGGTAAAGACGCATACGGCGAAAAACGAAGCCAAAAAATGGATGGAGGCCAGTTTCAAGACATCGAGAAAAAGTTTCATCCAGGAAACTTATGTATTTCGGACGCCGGGAGTCGAACCCCAGAGTTCCCGCGTCGAAATTACGCAGGCTTCTGGCAACGCGAGCGGGTGTTGCGCCGTGCACTGCGTCCGAGGGTACAGTATGTGTTGTGAGCGTGACCTAGTAAGAGAGAATCGGCTACCTGATTGATTTTGGAGGAGTTTTAAAACGATACTTGCATTGATATTCGCGCTTTGAATCAAGTCCAGGCAGGGAGAAGAAGAAGAGAAGGAGACTGCTGTATGTTTTCAAGCCTTCAGCTAAAACAGAGGAATGAAGCTAAAATAATTTCTCGCTCAACCGTCACCGAATCCCGGACACTGGGAGTCGAACCCAGATCTGCTGTCCAGCTATTCACGCGATGGTGCAAACAGCCGTATGAATAGCTGGAGTGCGCCGTGCACTACGTCCGGATTGTAGCTTGTAAAGGATACTGAGCATCGCTGTCGCAGAACTGGGATGAACTTGCGTAACTCACTTCAATGAAGTTGAAGTCAATCTTGAAGCTCGCTGGGCGACGCCGGGACAAGCCTGTGAGACAGCGATCTCAACCGACCAATAATGCACCGCACTTCGGCTTGAGCAAGAGGAGCACAGAAACTTGCAGGAAACGATGAAAACGAGAGTGATCGGCAATTCCCGGCCGATCATTTGCGGCTCTATGTACGCTCACCACCACGTCATGTCTCGTACAGTACGAGACATGACGACGAGTCGTACTCCACTGCTGGGAGCGTATAAAACGCGGTCTTTGACTTCAAACTGCGCCCAATACGAATTCGAAGTTCTATACGACCTTGTCTTTAACTGCGAAATTCTGCGGATTAACTTGGAAATCTGCCGCAAACTTGCTTGGATCTTGCCCGATCTTCTTGCTCCTTGGATTCCTGTCCTGGTCTTCACTCTTGAATCCGACTCACAATGGCCACAATCCACGCATCCCCGCCCAACATGGTCCCCACCATCCCCTCCGGCACCCTCCCACAGACACCCTCCAGCGAATGGGCAGAAAATATGACCGATCTGCTTGGGAACCACGTTACGCGCACGCCCGTCGGGACACCTGGCCCTGACATCCCGGGTGGCTTTCCGGCCCATTTGGAGCCCGATGACGATGCTGTGACTGCTACGAGTAGCGACGATGCATCTCGGAATGCAGAGAGCAAACTATCGCAGGAAGACGGCGGCATCATCGCGACCGCGCAGGCCACTCTGGCCGCTGCGACGGCGTACCTACCGCCAGGACTTGCGGCGTATCTGCGTGAGTTTCCATCTATATCGTTATATTCACTGACTGATCTTATTTTTTGTGCGATATGTAGCAGCAGCGTCCTCCGAATCGACGCTGAGCTCCACACCAGGAGTCCCACCCTCGGCTTCGGAATCATCTCTCCCCGCACTCCCACCTTCGTCTTCGTCCCTATCGACGCTGGGGCGCCAAGACGGCGTCGACGTCGGCCACGCCACAAATATCCCATACACCGAATCTGCGCCGGAGCCCTATCGCGCTGCATCCAATGCGCACTCTGCGACACCCCCTAACGACCGACTCGACTCCTCCGCAACAACCGATTCGACTGCACTCAGCACGACCGTGCACACCGGCCACGCGTCTTCTCCTGTCCGGCGTCGCCCCCGTGTCCCCACCTGTGTCTGTATCGTCACCTGCATCTACCTCGACACCGCGCCCGACGTCAGGCCTGATTCCGTCCCACCCAGGCGTTGCCTCCCCCCTCTCCCCCCGCGGTTCCGAAGCCCACCTCGGGCCTCATCCCCTCCCACCCGGGCGTCGCGGCCACGCCCCCCGCTCACGGAGTCGCCCGTGCCCCTCTCGTCCCCCGATGCGCCACAACCCACTCCAGGCCTGATCCCGTCCCACCCCGGCGTCTCGTCCCCCAGCGCCGCACCCGCCCCGCACGTAACCGCACTCCCGACGCACCGCGCGCACTTCCCGCACCCCACACCCACACCGCACGCCGTCCCAGCCGCCTCCGTAGATGCGTCCACGCCCTCCCTGGCGAGCACAGGCGGCGACAGCGGGTACGCTGCCAGCACGGAGACGGAGAGTTTGGCTACACCCGGGTCGGTGTCGGCCCCTGCGTCGTGGCCGACGCCGCCTGCGTATGTGGGTGGAGGGGCGGACGAGACGAGGCTGGAGCCGCTCCGCGCGGGTGATGTCCATACAGGCGTAGGCGCGGACATGGTACCGACAGGCGACTTCGCCGCGCCCTCGGGGGACGACAGCACCTACCATCCCCGTGTACCGGGGTCGGCTGCGGCTACGTCGTCTGCCCCGCGGCCTCCGGCACCGCCTGCGGACCCGCAAAGCCAGTACGCGGACGACGAGGGTGCGAACAGTAGCGGGAGCGCCGATGAGGCGGGCGAGGAGGTAGAGGGAGAGGGGCAGCAGAAGCCCAAGAAGAGCAAGAAGCCGAAGCTGATCCCAGCGGCTGAAGGAGAAGATGCACGTCGGGTCGGGGTCGGCTTGAGTAGGGCTTAATGAATTGTAGTGTATTTTGCTGTATCTCTGTACTTCCGCGCGTCCATGTATTTAAACCCTACACCCAATCCCTGCCAATGAATCCTCCAATCAAGCCAGAATCAAGCCTCTGTGAGTGCCTCCCATTTATGAAGGGACGTGAGTTGTACGAGACAGGAGGAGATGTGGGTTCGACTCCCACCAGAGGCATATGCTTGATGGGAGCTTTTGTTCCCTTTCGTTCCTCTTTTTATTCATTTCTTTCGAGCCATGATTCACACATGCTGAGCTAGTTTTCACTTGGAGGAGATTTGACCACACAAGTGGAGTCCAGGCACGAAAGAAAAGGGGCGGGTACGCGGTAGGCGAGAGCTACTCGATTCAAATCAAGAACCGCGGTTCGGCTGTGAATTCCGGCGCATTCCGATACCCACGCCCCCCTCTCAACCCACTACGGCCCCTATTCGTCCTGAAGCTGTCGCCGCCGTTGCCGCCGCCTGCGCTGTTCCTCGTGCTCGTCGCGCCGCCTCCCGCCCCTACTGTATCTCGCCACTCACCGTGGTACCCGCATCCACCTCTTGACCCACCACAATGTCCTCGGCTTGTCCTGAAGCTGCGGCTGTTGTCCCATCATCGTTGCCGCCGTTGCCGCCGTTATTGCTGTTGCTCCCGCCCTTCGCGCCGCCTCCCCCCCCACTGATGTATACCGCCACCCACACGCAATCGCGGTGTTTTCCAGCAAGTGGATGTGATGCCTGTTGTGTTGCACACCCCCGGCTCGTCCTGAAGCCGTTGCCCGCCGCAGTTGCCGCCCCCATCGCCGCCCCCGCCGCTGTTGCCTTCTGCCCATCTCACCCCCTCTGCCCCCTCCCGTATCAGGCATCCTTCCAAACCATTCGTGCCCTCGCGTCCATGACCTTCGTTCCCAAACATGTCCAATTCCTGCGGCCGCTGTATGCCAGCTTCCAGGCCCTCTATGAGAGATGGCTTGAGAAGACAAGGTTTGCACCTCTTTCGTCTCGATTAACTGTCTTTCCGAAGCTGTGTCTGGTCGCTTTTTGCGGACATTCTCTTTGTCCTTAGCATGACCTACTCGGACACACAGCCTCTGTAAAATATCTGGGTTAGTTTTAGAGTATAAGAGGTTGGTTTCCAGAACCTCTATATAATCAAGTTAGTTTTATCTTGAACAATCTGTCCGAGAGCACGAGGCTTCTAAGACAAGCTGGGAATATTGACCAGCTACTGATTGCTTCTAGTCCGAGAAGTAAGCGCGTGGCGTTACAACTAAGAACTAGCTTGACGAGATACCGAAGGCAGCGCGAGACTTGACTTAGGTTCACACAAGATTTAAAGTGAAATCTAGGTAGATTGCAAGAGGTAAGAATGAGCTGTCGTCACATGAGGGGACGACTCCCTTTGTATCTACTTAGCTACAAATAGAAGGTAGTAGAATGTTAACGAAGATGGGAGACTCTTCGTTAATCTTCCGTTTACGGAAATAGTCTTGAGTCATTCGGGTGCGAGAAGACTCACAAGGGCCAATCAGGTAAGTATCCAAACTATCCATCACAGCCTCATGGAACTCTGTGTTTGTCCACATCTCACGTCTCTCCATCCAGCTGGGTCTCCCCTTGCTGACCCACCTGAGGTCATGAATATGTCCGCCACCTTGCCGCCGAACTTGTAGACAAATACACATTCCTTGAGATGGAGGCGGATGTGCCAAAGCCGATGCCTGCTCTATTGGAAACTGGCCCGATGCACAGTGACCCTCTGCAAGTGTGCAGAGGTATCGATTCAATGGGGTGGCTTAAACACAACATATGTACCGAAAGGGGTAAGTAACCATAATAGTAACCATAACAGAGGAACAGCACGTGTATGAATAAGTAGGAGTCAGTACAGCTAAGGTGACAAGGAAACAAACAGAAATGAGTCTGGATGAATGGAAATGAGCCGCTGCCTCAGTGCCCGAACAGCTGTAGTGGTAGCGTGTTGGTGTTTCAGTTGTTATTCCAACATGCTCCAGAAACCAGCAAAGAGGAGGCTCTTGCAGAACCCAAGATCATTGGCACTACCGAGGATCTGCATGCTGAAATGGTGACTATGGGTCTAGCGATGAAATATCCACAAACTAAACCTTGTAATTTAATATGCAGTTCAAGATGCAATATATCAACTCCAAAACACTATAATCCTCATGCAAGTTCGGGGTTCTAATCTAGTACAGACTGTGGCAAGTCAAACCTTGGTTCTCTTTATCGAAAACAAGACTTATAGGTCCACAAGACATATAGATAAAACTGCTCAAGACTGTTCTAGGCACAATCACGGATAGTCAGATGAGATTTTATGTTCAACAATTTTGTATGATATGGGTCTAGGTTTGGAGGTTGTATTCCTATGCAAAACACCAGTGATTTCGAGCCTAATAGTATCTGCGGTTGCTAATCTTTATGAGATTACAGCCAATTGTCAAGTCCGATCTGTTTCCTTATATTCCATGTGTCCATTCCATTTATCCAATATGTCCATGCGTAGTTTATAAAGATCCAAATCCAACACAGATAATATTTTGAGGGAATACAAATGAAACTTGGTATAGCTTCTGGGTGTCTCCAAATGAATGCCTACTCAACCGGTTAAGCACAAAAGCCTAGTAGCTTCACATCCAACAGGTGGGGTGAGATTCACTGGCCCACTACCCATAACTATCCACTTAAATACTAGTGCTCTCAAAAAGTGTTGGTGTCTGGGGTTCTCGGTTCTCGATCTTCAGGCATGCAAACAACTCCAAATAACTTGTAAACTGAAAATATGAGAGAAAAAAGATATTCTCATATACTAACATATGACCATAAAAGGAAATTCCAGAGATATAAGGCATTTTTGGCTGGAATTTGAAATCGACTTTTGCTACAGGGACCGTGG